CCCGGAGATTAGGAACTCATGATATCATCTGATGTAAACTTAACGTCAGGTACCGTTACAACGCTAAAAAAATGTATTTTTTAACGGTTTTTTATTTTGTAAATTTTGAATAATACGGCTGAATTATTGCCGAATGGCATGAAACTAATAATTCCATAAAAACTTGTAATTTTTTCATTTAAATTATATAAATATAATTCGATCTATTTTACAAAGAAATATTGATCACTCTTAAGCAGACAAGAGCTGTATTTTTAACAGAATACTATACCTATCAACAATTAAATATATATATATAAATATATATATATATATATATATATATATATATATATATATATATATATATATATATATATATATATATATATATATATATATATATATATAATATATATATATATATATATATATATATATATATATATATATATATATATATATGTATATATATATATACATATATATATACATATATATATATATATATATATATATATATATATATATATATATATATATATATATATATATATATATATATATATATATATATATATATATATATATATATATATATAAATAAATTTATATATATATATATATATATATATATATATATATGTATAACACAAAAATTATATTCTTTTAAAATCATTACTATGTATGAAACTTTTGGCATCTTGGATACCATTTGCTGATCAATGGAGTTTTTTGTACCATTTAACATAAATACAACTACTAATATTAAAAATGATTAGGAAAATATATAGTAGAAAAAAAGAAAAATTACAAATAAAAACCTACTTCTAAGCAGCAATACTTCTTTATTACTTATGCTACTTTGAAGAACTTAATTTTGTTAACAATGTCTGTAGATATTTTATAGTAATCAGTGTAGGCATTAAAAATTATTATGCACATTTATTATTTTTATTTATTTCCTTATTAGATCATTTGCTGAGTAAATAGTATACTATATTGATTTAATTAATCAAGAAATTAGTTAAAGAAACATTTAAAATTTAAACTACGTACGTGTATTTCTCTAAATAAGGAAGAAATTACTAGAAACATCTCTCTCTCAATTGTTCATTCTCCTTAATTCTCCATCTAATCTACTTGGAAATATATGTTTTTAGTTATATATAATTTATATATAACGTTCTTAGTTATATATAATTATATAATAACTTTATAATTATATAATAACTTATATATAATTATATAAGTTATTATATAATTATATATAAGACACACATGCACATGTGCATGTGTGTCTTACGGAAAAGTTGTGAATAAGCTCCTAGATGTCATAAACAAATAATTAGCTGTATCCCTAGTGTTTTCTGCAAAAGAGGTTAAACTAGCATGACCAATTCGCGCAGTTTTGTTTTCCTTATTTCTGGCTTCAATAGCAATCACAGACAAAGAACCTATTGGATACTTAAAATACCTTATAAAAGAAGTACCATAAACTATCATTCTATGCACAGATTGTGACAGGTATAGTTTTTAAAAATGTATCATTAGTTATGAGCGAAAATAGATGCTCAGATTTCTGTTTAAAAATCTTTATATCTGGTCTTGTCGTTGTGTTATTCATATTCATATAAATGAGCAAATCATTCTGATATCCAAGTTTAAAATTCTTCCTGTCTCAATCGGATTATTAAAAAATTTGCGAGCAGCATTTCCAGTATTGGTTGTGCCACTTCATTTCCTGACAAAAGAAACCCTCATTTTCAAATGAATATTGAATAAATGTTGGAATTTTCTTTTGTTTTCAATAAATTCTTTACTCTTTTGTGATGGATTTTTCCTTGTTTTACTGCTGGGAGTTTACAAGCAGTATTGAAAACCCACTCCATGCAGATCGTCCATAAATGAAGTTTGCAAATTCCAAGTTTCAAAACTTGCTTGCCTATATTTTTATTTTTTTTCGAAATAGTTTTCAAATTAAACTCCTTAGAGTTTGCAAGACAAACATGGCAGGACTGAGATGAAATTCTTTTTTTAAGCATATCGGATACAACAGCGTTTAGTGTTTTGCCATCATTTATTGTGGTATAAATAGTTGACAAACTAGACTTAACTACAAAAGTACTTTCACCTAGTTTAAATTCAATATTCCTCAATAAAAAAATTTCATTTTTCAAATGATCAAATTTTTCCTGAATAAAATAGGTAGTGTCTTTTGCAAAACAAAAAAGAAGATGACGGGTGGCATCTGGACTATTTGGAAAAAAATTTTTCCATATTATCTTCTCTCCGCTTCAAATCACTAACAATACAAACACTATACTATACACAGAGTGATCATCCACACCTCTATTCATAGTTGCTGAATTTTGAAACTCAGATTGATCGCTTTAACCATCACCTCCTACTTGTGTACTATCACGCTCTTTTTGTGATAAAGTAATTATGCAGTTACTTTCATAGTCGAAAAGATATTCAAACACTCTAAAAACTGAATGCTTTATGATATGGAAAAGACTACATTTTACTGCAGTTTCAGAACATTCAGTTTGTTCTGAATATGTCAACTTTTTGTATTGTTTAAACTTAGTTAAACCTGGAGGAACAAGATGGCGATTATGAGTCACTATAATTTTAAGTTCAGTCCATGTCCTATCTGTAAGTTTTAAATTACAAAGAGCTTGCAATGACAAATTTGAATCAAATAAATTAGTCCGATCATCAGTATAAAAATTAGATTTAAATCCTTTGACAGCATGTTGCAGTTCTTTTACCTGTCATTCTCTAAGACTATCTGTTCTTTTACGCTTCATCCTGTTTGTAAGCTTTATGAAAGACTGTCTAGGTTTTAGTGTACAAGATATATTTACTGCAGGTGATCTAAATGCTCTCCGTGGTATATTATAAAAAAAACAAACATAGATACAACACTAACTAAACTGTCAAAAAGAAGGTTTTGTAAATTACGGTATGAAAGAATGTTTGTGTTCTGTAATAGAATATCACCGCATCTTAAAATATCACCGCACCAGTAGAAATAATGAAAACGAGGATGCGTTTTGAAGTAATAGAACTTAGTAGAGTACCGAGTACGTCCGAATAATACAAGAACGTTGAAAAAATGTTGTTTTTTAACAAACAATATCTAGTATGTTGGTTTTTTAACAAAATACAAGAAAGATGTGATACTCTGAACATATAATAGTGTGTTTCTAAGTTTTTTGAAGGTGATGTGATATTCTAAAATTCTAAGCACTATCTACGATATTGTTTTTTAACAAAATATATGGGTAATGTGATATTCTAAACATATATAAGTGTATTTCAAAATTTTATAAAGGTGATGTGATATTCTAATATTTTAGGCACTATCTAATATGTTGTTTTTTAACAAATAACATGGGTGATGTAATATTCTAAACATGAAGTAGTGTATTTTTTAATTTTATTAAGGCAATGTGATATTCTAACACTTTAAGCACTATCGAGTATGTTGTTTTTTTAACAAAAACATGGGTGATGTGATAATCTAAACATGTAATAGTGTATTTCTAAGTTTTATAAAGGTGATGCAATATTCTAACAATCTAAGAACTATCTAGTATGTTGTTTTTAACAAAATATATGGGTGATGAAATATTCTAATCATGTAATAGTGTATTTACTAGTTTTATTAAGGTGACGTGATATTCTAACATTCTAAGCACTATTCAGTATGTTGTTTTTTAACGAAATACATGGGTTATGTAATATTCTAAACTTCAAATAGTTTATATTTTAATCTTATTAAAGTGATATGTTATTCTAACATTCTAAGCACAATCTAGTTTTTTAATTTTTAACAAAATACATGGATTATGTAATATTCTAAACTTCAAACAGTTTATATTTTAATCTTATTAAGGTGATATGATATTCTAACATTCTAAGCACAATCTAGTTTGTTAATTTTTAACAAAATGCATAGGTGATGTAATATTCTAAACATGTAATAGTGTATTTTTTAATTTTATTAAGGTGATGTGATATTCTAACATTCTAAGCACAATCTAGTTTGTTATTTTCTAACAAAATAGATTTTTGATGTAATATTGTAATCATATAATAGTGTACTTTTTAATTTTATTAAGGTAATATGATATTCTAACATTCTAGGCACAATTTAGTTTGTTAATTTTTAGCAAAATACATGGGTGATGTAATAATATAAACATGTAATAGTATATTTTTTAATTTTATTAAGGTGATGTGATATTCTAACATTCTAAGCACAATCTAGTTTGTTGTTTTTTTACCAAAATACATGGGTGATGTAATATTCTAAACATGTAATAGTGTATTTTTTAATTTTGTTAAGGTGATGTGATATTCTAACATTCTAGGCTATTTTAAGGTTCATAGCAGAAAATACAACTAATTTTTATGACATACATAAACAATATACATAGGGAAGGGGGGGGGGGGGGAGATGTGTGATATTTTAAGTAATAGAAAACTGTTAGTTGACAATACATTTCTTATTTACATCTAAGATTCAAAGCAGCAAGTTAGACTAACTATGAAGTTTTTAAACAGTATACATTGGAATTGTGATATTATATATATATATAACATATATAATACTGGTAGTACATAGGGGGTCATTATATATCATTATAAACATATTGGTCATTATATATCATTCTAAACATATTGATAGTTTGTGGTATAATTCTTAGTTACACTAAGGGAGTGTAATATTCTAAGCAGCAAATTTGACTAACTATGACATTTATAAACAATATACATAGGGGATGTGTGTCTAAACTTAATACTATAATATGCGTTATTTTTCTTAATTTTATTATGAGAGGAGATTTATTAGGATAGTATTCTAAAATGCTACTCTAAGAGATTTATTAGAATAATATTCTTTTTTTAGGTTTCTTCTTGTTGTCCCTGGCCACATGCATTATGTTTTGTTGCATGTTATCAGACTTGTATGGTCACTACTTTTGAAGCCTTTCTGACTGAAAAATACCCAACTGTTTGTCATCAATGCCATCTATATCATGTGATGTAACAGTGACTGCTATCACTTTAAAAAAAAACAGTTAGTTAAAGTCTTCTTCAATCTGTTTCACTCGTAAGATACTCGTAAGATATATTTTCCATTAAAATAAATACAGAATATTTTACCTTTAAGAGTATTTATAATTTTTTGCCTGATGTTGTTTTTAAGTATCCCAATCTTCAATTGTAGATTGCAGCTACTAATGAAAATTGTAGGCGAATACCTATACTATATCAAGCAGAAACAAAAGCAGTACAACCAGCACTTATTTTTTCAGCACTTATGTTTATCATTATCTTATCCATCCTCCTAAACCAAATATGTTTATTCTTATTCAAATATTCTCTATCTTCCTAAACCAAATATGTTTGTTCTCTACAGATTTCTAGAATGATTGCTTCTTTAATATACATTTTTCTTTATTATTATACATGTTTTATTATATAAAATACATTATACATTTCTGGTCAAGGTAGAACTTATTGTTCTCCACTTTGCCATTCTGCTCAAAAACAAAAGTGTTCTCCAAAGTTTCTTTGATTTTTACTAAACTGTTTAATAAGTGCTTGACTGAATCTAAATCTTGACACCTGTCCCCTCCAACTGCTATTCAGTCAGTCTTCTCTCTATTATAAGCAAAGTCTTTGATAATTGATCAACAAGTTTCTAACACTCCAACTTCTAATATTTTACTCCCTGACAATCATTATGGTTTTTGAACTTCTTGTTTTAAGGCCGACTTGCTAACTGTAAGGGCATGCTGGTCATCTTCATAAGCTTGCTTAATGTAACGTATCCGAGAAAGTTTTTGAGGTTATTAAATTATTCCTTTCTAATTGTTTTGTTAATGTCATCCTCAAAGGCTAACACTCTTCTTCGTTTCCAGTACTTTCTGGAGTACCTAAAATGGTTATACTTGGTCCTGTGTTATTTTTTATCTACATTAACAATCTTCCTGACAATTTTACATCTAAAGCGGCTCTATTTGTTGATAAACAAACTTTATACCCCAGTCTAAATAAAAAAAATTTTCTCACTTTTGTAACAGCTTTGGGCTTGTAGTGCCTTTTGAATTTTAACTTCAACAAAACTCAGTTGCTCACTTCAACCTAACTCCAATCGTGGTAAAGTTGCATCTCCTTCTATTTTCTACAAATGGTTGCTGCTCAAAGGAGCTATCATCTCTAGTTCCATTAACCAAAACTCATTCTCGATTAAATCGTCATTCAGCAAAATCGTATTTTACTGTATCTGTTCCTGCATGCTCTAAAAATTATATAAACTATTTGTTAATTTTTTTTCTTCGGACTGTATTTATCACAGTCTAATTATTTAAAAAATTGATTATATATTTTGTATTTTATTGAAGTATATCTTTTATTTAGATTTAGTACGAATCAGCAGTGAACTTATACAGAAATTATCAAACAAGTTGGAAGACTGAAAACTTTTATACACTCAAAAAAGTTTAATTATTTCCATTCGAAATTGAATATACAATCAATACCAAATTAGAGTCACAAAGTAAATTTAACTTTCTTAAAGCAATATTTTAAATAAAAAAAATTTAGAAGAAAACTTGCGATTGTTGAGTTGTTTCTTCTTCCTATAAATTAACCTTATTGTTTAGCAACTAAATTTTCTTTTTAATTTATAATGTATTTTAAAAGAAAAATTTGAAAGAAAAAATGTTGTATTTTATAATATTAAAAAAAAAAGAACAGGCTGAAACTTTTCTATACTATCTAACTTGTTTTTTTATTATTATTTTGCTTGCATCGCTTGTTATGAATTAGGAAGTATTAATCAATGAATATTAATCAATGCTTAACGTGGTTGTACCAAAAGTGTAATACAACCAGAAATCCTATCAAAAAAATAATGTATTATTTTGGAAAATTGTCAATAAATTGAGAGAGATTAAGAAGAAGCTTTAGACTTCTCCATAGGTAGTGTAAACAAAATTTTGAATGAAGTTTTTGGTTTCAATAAGTTGTGAGCACAATCTACGTGACATTTGCTAACAATGAAACAGAAATAAATTCGGTTGCAACTTTCTTAGCAACATTTAGCGATTTAGAAAGAATAAAAAGAATTTTGTTTATCGTTTCATAACTATGGCTCAAACTTGGGTCTACAATTAACCTGTTGTAAACTTTTGGAACAGTTATGGACAATAGTGAGAAATGACCATGTTTAGAAAAGAAAATAATAACTTTTCATCATGAAAACGCATCTCACGCAGATCAAAAAACCATCGCGAAAATCAGTAAATTAAAGTATAAATTATTGCAACATCTATCATATATACCAGTTATGGTTCGGCAAATAGGGTAGGCGTTGATTTAGTGTGAGAATACCCATAAGTTGACTAACTTATGGCTATTCTCACATAAAAAAAATTCGTGTGTTGAAAACGATTTTAATTAAAACAAGGAATTAAAGCAACCGTGGAAACCTATTTCGAAGGTCTCTAGATTCTCACTACAAGGATAGAGTACATAAACAAGAAAATCACTGAAAAAAGTGTATTGAAGTTCAGAGCGATTATATGGAATAACAAACTCTATTTAAAACAATAAAAATTAATTTTTTTAACAAACGATAAAACTTATTTAGCAACCTAGTAGAAAAATGTAGCTACTCAGAGCAATGGTATATATAAAAACAATCTTGTGAATATTGGCCTACTTTAAGTGCTGAAGGTATTCATATTTAATGAACCAATAATTTATTTTAATTTTATGTAAATATAGTAATTCAAGGCAGTGCTGTCCCGATGAGTTTTTTAATAGAAAAAGGTGGGGAGAGGTGTTGTATGTATTTTTTGTCAAAATAACACCTGAAAGAAAAAAGAAAAGGTCCTCAACATTTGTAATTTGCCAACTAAACTTGCTCAATGTGCCAACTCTAATGCTTATATTACAGATTTAAGAGGGTATGACACCTCAATACCCCCCTTCAGGACGGCCCTTAATGAAAGAAACGGAATATATATAAACATTCTTGTAGAAATAGGCCTACTTTAAGTTCTGCAGGTAATCATATTTAATGAACCAATACTTCATTTTAACCAATAACTTTTTTGCTTTTTAACAAGATTAAAAGTTACTATGTTGCACAGTTGCTTTGAATCTTAGTGTTAGCCTTTGAGGACGACATTAACAAAACAATTAGAACTGAAAAAATAAGTGCTGGTTGTACTGCTTTTGTTTCTGCTTGATATAGTATAGGTATTCGCCTACAATTTTCATTAGTAGCTGCAATCTACAATTGAAGATTGGGATACTTAAAAACAACATCAGGCAAAAAATTATAAATACTCTTAAAGGTAAGATATTCTGTGTTTATTTTATTGGAAAATATATCTTACGAGTATCTTACGAGTGAAACAGATTGAAGAAGACTTTAACTAACTGTTTTTTTTTAAAGTGATAGCAGTCACTGTTACATCACATGATATAGATGGCATTGATGACAAACAGTTGTGTATTTTTCAGTCAGAAAGGCTTCAAAAATAGTGACCATACAAGTCTGATAACATGCAACAAAACATAATGCATGTGGCCAGGGACAACAAGAAGAAACCTAAAAAAAGAATATTATTCTAATAAATCTCTTAGAGTAGCATTTTAGAATACTATCCTAATAAATCTCCTCTCATAATAAAATTAAGAAATATAACGCATATTATAGTATTAAGTTTAGACACACATCCCCTATGTATATTGTTTATAAATGTCATAGTTAGTCAAATTTGCTGCTTAGAATATTACACTCCCTTAGTGTAACTAAGAATTATACCACAAACTATCAATATGTTTAAAATGATATATAATGACCAATATGTTTATAATGATATATAATGACCCCCTATGTACTACCAGTATTATATATGTTATATATATATAAAATATCACAATTCCAATGTATACTGTTTAAAAACTTCATATTTAGTCTAACTTGCTGCTTTGAATCTTAGATGTAAATAAGAAATCTATTGTCAACTAACAGTTTTATATTACTTAAAATATCACACATCTCCCCCCCCTTCCCTATGTATATTGTTTATGTATGTCATAAAAATTAGTTGTATTTTCTGCTATGAACCTTAAAATATCACATCCAGCAAATTAGTTAAAAAATATATCACTAACTATCACTGTATGTTTACAATATCACACTCCCCATGTACTTTATTTATAAATATCATACTAATTAGTTGCACTTTTAGTTTAAAAACTTAGAATATGACATTTCCTTATTATATTTAGGAAATATATTACACACTATAAGAAACAAATATTTTGAATATCACATCCCCCATGAATTATGTTCATTAATGTTATAAAAATTATTTGTATTTGATGCTTAGAACCTTAAAATATCGCATTGCCTAAAAAAATTAGGAAATATATAGCATGCTACCGGTATTATATGTTTAGAATATCACATCACTTTAATAAAATGTTTATATTATTACATCACCCATGTATTTTGCTAAAAATTAACAAACTAAATTGTGCCTAGAATGTTAGAATATCACATCACCTTAATAAAATTAAAAAGTACACTATTATATGATTACAATATAACATCAAAAATCTATTTTGTTAGAAAATAACAAACTAGATTGTGCTTAGAATGTTAGAATATCACATCACCTTATTAAAATTAAAAAATATACTATTACATGTTTATATTATTACATCACCCATGTATTTTGCTAAAAATTAACAAACTAAATTGTGCCTAGAATGTTAAAATATCACATCACCTTAATAAAATTAAAAAATACACTATTACATGTTTAGAATATTACATCACCCATGTATTTTGGTAAAAAAGCAACAAACTAGATTGTGCTTAGAATGTTAGAATATCACATCACCTTAATAAGATTAAAATATAAACTGTTTGAAGTTTAGAATATTACATAATCCATGTATTTTGTTAAAAAACAACATACTTGATAGTGCTTAGAATGTTAGAATATCACGTCACCTTAATAAAACTAGTAAATACACTATTACATGTGTAGAATATTACATCACCCATATATTTTGTTAAAAAACAACATACTAGATAGTTCTTAGATTGTTAGAATATTGCATCACCTTTATAAAATTTAGAAATACACTATTACATGTTTAGAATATCACATCACCCATGTTTTTGTTAAAAAAACAACATACTCGATAGTGCTTAAAGTGTTAGAATATCACATTGCCTTAATAAAATTAAAAAATACACTACTTCATGTTTAGAATATTACATCACCCATGTTATTTGTTAAAAAACAACATATTAGATAGTGCCTAAAATATTAGAATATCACATCACTTTTATAAAATTTTGAAATACACTTATATATGTTTAGAATATCACATTACCCATATATTTTGTTAAAAAACAATATCGTAGATAGTGCTTAGAATTTTAGAATATCACATCACCTTCAAAAAACTTAGAAACACACTATTATATGTTCAGAGTATCACATCTTTCTTGTAATTTGTTAAAAAACCAACATACTAGATATTGTTTGTTAAAAAACAACATTTTTTCAACGTTCTTGTATTATTCGGACGTACTCGGTACTCTACTAAGTTCTATTACTTCAAAACGCATCCTCGTTTTCATTATTTCTACTGTTGCTGTGATTTTCTAATGTGCGGTGATATTCTATTACAGTTCAATACAATTTCCATAACTTATTTAACTATAACAAAATATTATAGAACTTATTATACTTACATGAAATGTTTGAATTGTTGATTTTCAACCAAAAAATGTTTATGTTTAGCGAGAAACAACTTTTTTTTTTTTCACATTCGTTAATATTTTTTATTAAATTAAACGCCAGACTTTTGAAAATTTTGAAATTCACTGTGCTACTAGTGTAAAGAAATAAAAACTTGGACTGCAAAAAAATTGCACATGCAGAAATATTTTAATATTTTATAAGAATTTTTAAACCTCTGTCATAATTATGTATTAGTTTTCTTCCTTTGTGCCCAGCCAAATAATAGTTTAGCTAGTTTTGTCAAGTAGTCACTTAATACAAGTGTAACTTTGTGATTTTTAAAATACTTAACATTAATTGATACTATCAAAACCACGCAAAAATTAATTTATTTGAAAATTTTAACGCCATGAAACAATAATGGTAAAATTTTTTAAGTTTCTACAAAATGATCGACATCATCATCAACTTACATCTTTTCGGATGAGTACGCTGCGTTAAAGAAAGCTAAGATAAAGCAGGAGCTGGACATGCTAAAAGAAGAGATTTGGTACAGGCTAAATGCCATCTGATCAATTTAAAAAAAATTCTTTTTGAGAAACAATTTCTCCAGGCTCAAATCTTGTCTCTAACGCCTCAAAATGTTGAAACATCCAAGATGCGAAGCTTTAGCAAGTCAAAATGACGTACAATACA